AAGCCTCGGCTTCACGTCCCAGGAACGATGTATACGAAGAGTGCTTCAGCCACTTGTTGTTGTGGACATCAAAATCTCCGAAAATCGTAATTTGGCTGTTACGATCTGCCAATGGTAATTTTTCAATGTTGGAAGATAGAATATCAAAGATAGAATGATCACTGCTCGGGGAGTGGTAAACAGTACAAAAATAGCGTTTGAAAGAAGGGAATCGAAGTTTCAGCTACATCATCTGGAATTCGCAGTTGGGGAAATCGAGGGTGAACGTCGGAAAGAAGCAATAGAATAATGGATTTAGGTGTAGACATCAGCTTTAAGAAGAAGAGAGGAATGGAGGAAGCAATTAGGGAGCCAAAGATGAGTAGTGCCTGACGCGATTTATGTCTCAGTCAAAAATAAAGCAGAGGGGAAGAAGAATGGTGAAAGTGATGTACAGAATGAAACTTTCGCTTTAAACCGCAAATGAATGTGAAGGCTATGAAGTTCTGTGAGTTCGTAGGTAGAGTGAACATTCTGTGATTTGTATGAGTCATTTTGTCCATTTGCGATGTGAGAGAAGACCGGCAACCCAACCTTGAGACTTGGAGTGGTAAACCACGTAGGACCTCAATGAGTTGAGTGTGGTATTGAGCCGGGCGACAGCAGTGCTGCCTATCACATCTATTAGAGATGATGAGCGTCTGTAAGAGAAAGAGTATACGGTGAGCTTTGGAAGGCAGTTTAGGCGGGACGCGATAGAACAACGGCAGGAATTGCATCCAAAGCACTGTTTTAAGTATAATTCTTTGAAGGTCCCGATGGAAATGAAGTTGTGTGGGAGGCGTGGGGTTAATCAGAGAAAATTTAGGTGCGGGAAAGTGCGCATTAGGTAGAACATTTGATCAAACCGGTTTCAATGTGACATATGCACACTATCGCATAATCCTGATTTATGGGATCAATAAAGGCATCACGGATTGCGCATCCCATGGCTAGGATTCACTTTGTTGATGAAACCCAACCGGCTCAAAACAGCTTCCCAATGTTTCAAGCTTTTCATTTCATACTTCATTGACTCTGTTCACGACAAAATTCATTGCACAAACAATTCTAACCATCCATCTTGCTCGCTTTTGGTATTCTGTTTTCTTTTCTTTTTACTTCCTTTCATTGAATATGCAAAGATACAAGGAAGCGGTCAATCCGACTGGGGAAAGTTAAGGGTTGATGGTGGGATTCGAATACACCTCAGGGGTAATAATTTCGTGACGTTACCACCGGGCCACCACCCCCCAAAAACGGATGGTCCGAAGACCTCCGCAATGGAAAACTATGCGCCCAAGTGAGCCCGATTAGTGATCGTCGCAGGCTGCAACCCGCCAGAGTGTAAGGGAGAGCCTCCATCTAAGGCGAGGTCATCCATGATCACCATGGTCCCGGAGCCAGGTATTGCCATTTTACTTCACAACTGGATTTGCCAGTAGGCTCTCTTCTATGATTGAAAAGTTTTTTATTCATTTTCAATTTGGGTATAGCAATACGACATGATCTCTCGCATATCTTTGCTTACCAGGAAACACCCACCATCCAAGATTTTATGAACTTTGTTCCTTCAGAAAATATTTTGTAGAATCATAGATAACTGTGAGTTATTCCTACCGCCACATGTCCCACTTACTGAACTATAAAGATCGCGCTTAGGTGATCAGGCTGTAAAAAGGTGAGACGAGATTAAGAAATGATGCAACAAGGACCGGGTACTATACAACAAAGGTTAATAAAACAGAGAGAAGCTATAGGTAACAGTTTGTTGCCATTGACACTGTAGGTAAGATGTAAGGGCAAGTACGGGAATTACAAAGAAAAATGTAATTTCTATTAGCTGGTGAATGAGTTCAAATTTGTTGTTGCTATTCAGTGGAAATATTGTCGGCCTATCACTGTATCCTTGCATCATTAATAACAATTTTGTCAAATGCGCCATTTTATGACAGAGGTACATAGACGATTATCTTTGATGCAAAAGAAGCGGTGTTATTCGAACAAATCTCCGCCTTTATGGAATTTACTCATCAGTCTATTGAGAGCCTAGACTAAATCCACCCATGCAACGATTGACTTCAACTACCATGCCTGAGCATGTTGACCGATTTATCGATCCATCCTGTTATGATTCGTTGCCTTACTCGGTCAGATGTCAATTAATTCCGGGTTCGTTCGTTCTTGTTGAAAACTCACTCGATCAACGGCCTCAGGCGTAATATTCCCGGGTGGTAGTCTAACCCCATCCACCGGAACCTTCGTCCACGCTCAGTAACTTACTCAAAAAGTATTTTTATCTGTCTATGGAGAAATTAGTTCATTCCGACTGGATGGTGTCTTGATGGACCCGGTTCAAAAGGTGACGTGTGACTGCAGAAACACCAATTAATTTGTGGGGTTCCTAGCAGAATGCGATCGGTTGTATTCACCTGTAGTTAAATAGGTGTAGCCTTTGTTCAACTAAGTGCAAACCTCAAGGCAGCAACGTTGTTCCAGATGAGCCGATAGCCAGTTACATTGTTCAGCCGCATCTTCTGGAGGACCTTGTGGGTTAAATGAACATCACGCTGTTCATATATATATATATATATATATATATATATAAAGGGTAATTTGTGCGGAGAGGTGAACCCACCACATTCTGTTCAGTGAGCCCAGGACTACTTTACTCGCGATTATCCACCAATTAGCAGCCGCTTCCCGATCTGCGGCACTGGGCTTGCTCGGTTGCACATAGCTCCGGTTCCATCGTCAGTTGACCACATTTATTGCCAAAGGCACGGCAAATATCGCCCGGTTGATGGTTGCACAGGCTGACTCCGCTTGAACTGATGCTCCAGTATAGCCCCGTTTCACCTGGGCATATTAACTATTCATTGTTAAATCGCAAGGAACGAAGTATTTTTTAACTCTTACTGCACAAAAGAGAAAATGGTGCTTCCCCCCCCCCCACACACACACTCATTGGACCCGTATGCCACACAAACGAAATCGTAACGGTTGGTCGTTTAACAATAGTAAGTTCGTAAATTCATGAGGACCAAATTAACCCATCAAATCGCATTCATATGAAGCACCGAGCAACCAATGAATTCCGGTAAATTGACTCCCTTATAATACTATCAATCTAAGGCCTTATTTTTCCTCATTTTTTGGACAGTGTCCACTGGTTTATGGCAGCTGGTTTCGGTTCTAGAGGATAAAAAGAAGTGGTTTGCTTTTAAGTCGAGAGTAGTTTTAATCACATTGCTAATTTAAAAATGTTGTAGTTATCAAAATCCAAAAAAATGCTGTGCACGTATTTCAAATAAACAGCTGTTTCGGTACATCCTTTTACCGAGACAGGCGGATTTTGTTTCGAAAATAAGTTCTTCCTTATACAGACAAAATTTACAATCACCACGGCGCGTTGTATCCAAACTCGGCTTTTCGAAATTATATTCCCAAGTCTTATTCTAATGAGTCTCATGCATGAATGCACAATTCTGTTTAACCAGTAAATCGTATACAGAATGACTGATAGTGAGTCAGCATACTTAGAAGATCTGAGTGAAAAATAAAATCATCTTTTTATATAAAAATATTCTGCTCTTGGTTTCCGATCGACTATTCCGTCTACTTACGCATGGATGTAAACTTCCTGGCAGAATTTGAAGTTCACTATCAGGAAACAAAGAACAATGCTTTGTGGTCTTTAGATAATGGTCATAAATGATTATCTGCTTTGCATATTTTTGTCCCAACCATCCTCTGCTCATCATAATTCAGATTCAGTCTCCGAAGGAAAACTGTAATATTGGTTTGCGAATAAAACGTATCTCACACTGTGAGCCTCAATATTCAGGTTATCGCCAATATCAATTACGGTATTATATCTCTGTCTCAATAAGTAATGCGCGCCGTAGATCATTCCTGAAACATTCCTGGCTACTGAATCACTTTTGCTTTGTCCGAACCAAAAGGTTGATACCTGTGACGGCATGTGGGTCGTGTAGACGTGTGAATCACGCTTCGGTTTACATTAATTTTCCACGCGACTAATGTTCGTTAAAGTTTATTGCTTGGGAAACTGAGAGGTTAATTTATGAACTGATACGATCCGTATTGGTCACGTAACGATTTGTGTTGGTTTTATCCTCGTTGATTCTCTGGAGTAACCTTTATTCTGGTATCCATGGGCTCCTTCTGTCGAGGCCATCTTAAACGACTTCAAACGCTGTTGAGCAACTTAGAAAATAACCACAAGCTATCCTTGCGTACCTGTTTGTGTGATCCTGAGGATAAATAGTGGCAATAGTTGTGTTTGACGTGTGTAGTACAAATTAGTGGCAATTCATCCTAATTAGTTCACTCAGTTATCCCTTGCTTATATGCAACAACGGTTACAGCACGGTAGCCGCTTGAATATGAAATTAAACTGAGTAAATGGTTTGTTCAAATTTAGTGATTAGAAGCCCTTTTTCAAAAACACTCCTTTCCCTTTGATCTATTTGAACAAGTAGCCCGATATGAGCAGAAACCCTTTTCTCAGCACATGAATCACATGAGGTCAGTGAGATCCAGTCTAAACAATCCCGACGGCTAAGATATCGGTTCTGAATCAAAATATACTTCGCACGTCGTTTGTTAATACCCCAAACTTTTCCTGAATAGATTGCTCATTGCACATGGAACCAGTGAACTAAAACGTATCAATAGTCCAAAACAATCGGATTTTTGCCTGATTTACCAATATTCGTCTTGCGATGCACACTGAGCATACATGAACTTCTCTAATTAGTGGCCTTCATGCCCCTTCCGGTAGTATAGCGCATAAAAATTTCGAATGATCGAGTAAGAACTTTTGTGCGCAAATTTATTTAAAAAATAAAACCAATATCACATAATGCTAACAAGCGCGTGGCATAAAAATCAGCTCAAACGAAACTAAGGTTTCCTTCTTCTGCAAAAGTCAGTCAATTCATCTGATTTCAAGTAACTCAAATTCGGTTGATCATCTCGACAAATATGCTTTGCAGCGTCACAGTACGCATAGCTGCAGTGCTCAGGACTTCCTCGTGGTTGGCTTTTTCCGCAGATTCTTCATCAAGAATGCATACGTTGGTCACCAAGGATACAGCAAAAACATTTAACCCACAATGGCGTGCGATGAGTACTTCAGGAACAGTACTCATTCCTTTGATGATTAGGGAATTATTGAAAATAAAAAATGTAATATTTAAGGATAGGTGAGTTGTAAGTATATTATGATGTCATCAGTTAGTCAGTAGAACTCATAGTCACCCAAAATGCAGTGATCGCCTTGATTTTTATTGACAAAATCCATAAAAAGCATGTCAAACTGCAAATAAAAAAACTATTCTTGTAAGAAGTAGGCGGGCTTAAGCTAAAGTAATGTTGATAATCAGAACAGCTCATTCTAACTTTTAATGTAGCCCTTCGGTGGTGCAAGAGCAATTAAGCACAAGGCCAGCAGAAAAGTCCTTTAGAATCAACAACACTAAGTTTACTTGAATATTAGGAAATCCTGATCCACTAGTCTTAAACGATTCCCACGAGTTTACTTTGCCAATACAAGCCATCGGATACGGGGAAAAAGCTTATATTATAAGAAAGTCAAATATATGATGTAATTTTGATGATCCTGTTGATCTAGAAGCTGGTCTGTTCACAACCCGGTGAAAGATTAAAAAGCCTGTGATTAGATCATGTCAAGTTGCTAGGGTAAGATTCTGTTGATGATGTGACATGGCAATGTATAATGAGATAAACGTTTAGCGCAGTCCAGATTACTAGGACACTGAAAGCGACATCCATCATCGTAAAGCCAAGTTAGTTCAAACTTTCACTACTCTCGAAGGACTATTACATTATATTACTTTAAAAAGCTGTTATTGCTAGATCACCCTGTGTCGAAGAAATTCATCTGTTTTATTTGCTTTTAGTCACTGCTTTTGTAGGATTTCTCTCATTTACTGGTGAAAATGAACGAAGAGTTAAAGTAGAATGACCAACATTTGCTAATAGATGTCCGACCTGTAGGAAAATTAGTGCAAGACACTACCTGTCAGTTTAGAAAAATATCGCAAATATCTGAAAACATACCTCTANATTGTTGCTTTTTGAATATAGCTGAAAACGCTGACTTGGCTGCTAGTAATAATAATAATAATAGTAATCACAGCTTAACAGGACTAAACTCCTGCATCCACACCAATGTCTTTGAACTTTCACAGGTTGTTCGAGTGTACCTCAAGACATGATGAATACTATCTCGTCTATTGTTACTCTCATGAATGAAGTTCAGATAGGAAACTGTCACTAGTAATGTAATTCAATGCACATCACGAGTATACTTAAATGTTTTATTCTAACTACACCATGGATAAAGGTTTCATTTTGAATTTTGAACAACCATTGACCATGCTCTTTCGTGCGCCGGTTTTGGTTACTGTCTTTTGGCTGCTCATTTGGATGAATAATAGGAGAAGACAGGAAAGTTGAAGGTAGAGCCGAACAGAAAATGGAGAAGTTCAGTGGTCTAAGTTAGCAAAGAAATTGAGAAGATGCAAGAACGCCACTGATTACGACACCCAGCCACATCATTCAGTGTCTCTAACCATCGGGTACGATAATTCCGAGGTCCCCAGCCAGGGAGCTTAACAGGACCTATGTGACCCAGACTCCTGGCCAGGGTTTCCATACCCTCGTGCCAGGTCTTAGTTTGACCACCCTTGACTTTCTTCCACCCATTAATTGCCTCGGCGAACATCGCTCGCCATGGCAACCTATCTGGTGGCATGTGTAACACATGCCCCAACCAACGTAATCTATGGATGTCAACCACTTGCTCCAAGGGGCGACCGCGGATACCCAAAACTCTGCGCCCAGCCTCAGCATTGCTCGTCCGGTTGACTCACCAGATTCGTGCAATGCTGCGTAGACACCGGTGCTCAAACACCAACAGTCTATCTTTGTCCTGTTTTCCTAATAGCCAAGTTTCTGCGCCGTATAGCAGTACTGGTCGAACTTCTGAGGCACACACTCAACCCTTTACAGACAACCGGATGTCACGACGACGCCACAGATGCCTCAAGTTGGAACATGCCAACCGATCCTTCTGTATGCGAGCAGACACTTCATCCATGATGCGTCCACCGGGTGAGGCTCGGTGCTAGACCTACCCAATCTTTTAATAACATTTTGCACGTTGAAGGTGCAAAGTGCAAACCGAACATGGCTTAAATGGCTTTCAAGCTGTCCAAAAAAGCTTGCAACTTACCTGGATCTTCACTTAGTAGCACAATGTCGTCTGCATACTTTAGATCAGATAGTCTGCCGCCTGGGAGTAAATCGATGCCACTTTCCTCGCACGAGGATAAGGCTGTATGGAGGAAGGTGAAAAACGGTTGGATCCCGGAAAGTTCCTGTGTTTACAGTTTGCCCAATGGTGTTACCATCAGTACGTAATGGGGTAAAAATTAACTTAAGTATACTAACTGAGAAAATTAATTCAATTCGATCAACTTCAAAACAAAAAAATCGTAGGAAAATTGGGTGAGGACATCAAAAGTTCAATTTCAAAGGATCGTTTTGTAGTCTTTTTACTGACAAAGTATTTAACACTGGGAAACATGGTACCTGTCTATTCAAACAGATTATACTGTTTAAAAGACCTGAAAAATAAGTCAGTCAGATGTACTTGAATTACGGTGTCAAGCAAACGCAACGCTCCACGTTAATTCAGTGTTCGACTCAAAGGACTGCATAATGAACGTTAGAGTAGGTGAATCTGAGAGCTTTGAAAGCCTGCTTTTTATTGGAGATTAGGCAGTTTTATAATTAGTGTTTGGAATGGAGCATCATATTTTTCGCCTTTACAAAAGACGTTATTAAGCCGTATAATAGCCAAGCTGCCCAATCTCAACGTTCAGTAAGGTAGCAGTTCGAACATTGCAAAGCAAGTCCGGGGCATTGAGTAAAACCACCTGGATTTTACTGCACAAATCTATGTTTTTGATGATTTATTTTCTTCACATTAAAAGAACAAAAAAGACCCATTTACTCATTTCTATTTAACTAGGTATTTCTGAAATATTTATAACGAAATAAATGCAAATCGGCTGTGTGCGCTTTTATTTGTAAAAAAACATTTTAAGCACCAAAGCAAAGTCAAATATCACTTACCGACGACATCAGCCCCTACCATACGCAAGAATTTACATTCCGCGGGGCTCTCATAATTTGGACCACCGACATGTACATACACACCTTGACGGACGATATCAGCCACTTTCAGATCTTCGGCAATTGCCATAGCCATTTTTCTCAAGTCAATTGAGTATGCGTCTGAAGTTGCGATGAAACGAACTCCAAAGCTGATTATTTTGGTAGAGTTAGAAATTAATTTAAGCAATCAGCTTACTCTTCATCATTGGGTCCCACAAGAACATTGTTTAAGCTCAGACCAGGAAAACTTATGTGATCCTTGAT